AATCTCTGGGACCATGCGGCTGCAGCTCCCCTTCAAGGCCTCGAGAGCACACTCCCTCGGGACCGACTTTTGCGATTCGAATGTAGAGCGACAATCTCCGATATTGTCGATAAAATCAAATTGCTTAATTTAACCTCTGCAGGGTCGATCCCAGCGTATCGAGTTCATTCCTTCCCGACTTTCATTGCATCGAGGAAGGAACGGGTTACCGATTCGCTCGCGGACCACCGGGTCTATCTTTTGCCTCCGTCGCATTTAATCTCTCAGGTCGTCACAAGGGTATTCCTGTGCCAGCATGCCGAGAAACCGTCCAAAAGAAAGCAAGAGGAGAACGCCAGGGAGCGGAGAAGGCTCACCGTCGATTCTAAATTTAGAGACAAATTCACTAAACGAACGACTTTGTCGCTTAACGAATCGTCATAGTAAGCCGCGATTTGCTATTGCTGGACTCACTCGTTTCTGAGCGTCGCATGCATGTTCTCTCGCGCGGAACTGCCGCAACAGGCGCTTCTACCTCGTTGTTACCACAGACGCCGGCGGGCCCGCCGTTACCGCGATCAAGGCACCCACCTCCGATAAAGCCGTAGCAACAGCTTCGAAGAACAATATCGAAGGTGGAAAAAGAAGCCGCGTGTAAACATGCGAGATGAACCGATTCCAGTCTGCCGATGTTGTTTCTGTTTTCTCTCGGGGTGCGTCGAGCAAACCGAACGCTCCGCTGGCTAGATATCGGGGAGACGAACATGTCAAGAGACGACCGATTGGGCATGTCGAACTCAAAGCCGCTAAAAGCTTATCATTATACTGAACGCGGTTCCTGGCTCGAATTTGAGCGTAATCTGATGAACTTACGAGTGGACTTTCACACGAAGAACAGGTTCCTTCCAGCAAGCGAGCTTTCTCATGCAAAGACGGACTCTACATAATGGCTGAGGGTACGATATCATTAGGGATAATCGAGGAACCGTTACGCGCTGTCGTAGAAGAGTTCTCTAATAGCAGCGATCATGATGATGGTGATGGTGGTGGTGGCGGTGGCGACGGCCGCTTCGAGGTCGGATAATTCATCTCATCGGTTTGTTGATCAATTCGTCGCTATTCGGGCTTATTCAGACGAATTTTCAAAACATTCGCCAGGACGTTGTGGCTGTCGCCGGGCTCAGTGACCAATCGGAGTGCCCATCCATACTGCTCAATCGCAGATGTGGCAATTTATCAGAGCTCTTGACTTCCGTATTGATGCCGGAACAACGTCGTGTTTGGCGATCAACTCCCGACCGATGTTTTCGGGCTCGGATCTCGAGCAGGATGGGCAGATACTTACCCTCCGCATATCGCCGGAGCCTCTCTCTAAAACCTGCATTCCGAATGTGAAGCAGGGAAGCCGCAGCGGATCCCACCATTCCGAAACTTGGGTCTTCGAGCTTCGTGCAGATTGTTCACATTGTTGAACGCAAAGAATTTCAGTTTTCTATCTCTGTCGGCCGCGGAAGACGCTCGGATCAAGGCGGAAAAGCCTTCGATTCGCAGGCTGCCCTAATTCCTGGGCAACGGCCCCCAGAATTGTATTGAAACGGTATGATATGAAGTTTCTTCCAATTAGAGTCTACTTATTCATTCTGGTCTCGCCACGAGGACTAATCCGATGCTCAGTAGGAATTCACGACTCTCGACAACTTCTACCTTCGAAAATCCTTCTCGGATGGCCCTCTCACATAGCAGGCGAGCTCGTGAGAACGCCTGGATATTATAAAACAATTTTCATGAGAAGGACAACGAGCCGAGATAATTTCTGAATTACTCGACTCTCATATATGATTTCCCTCTCGAGCTACTCTTCGGGGAACAGCTGGAAATATACTCCGAATGACTCGACCGACTGCATGATTGCTCATCCGTTGGCTGATTCTAGAAAAGCGAGAGTCCACACCCTGACGAGATTCCAACGGCGAGCAGGAATATTCGAGAGATTCGCTTTTGGGGACGTCCTGCCGCTCAGAGGCATCGACTCCGTGAACGTTTCACACGTTATCGATTATTACTTGATGACTTCGCCGGCGGAGAACGCTCGCTCTGGAACTTTTGACTATAGCGAGTAGTGCAGATACGAGAGGAGCAATTCATAGTTTGCTCGCTATTTCTCTTTGTCGGCGTAGAAATGAACAGAATTTTCTTTCGGATGTTGTTGTGGACGTCGTCGTGGTTGTTGCTGCTGCTGCTGCTGTGGACGTCGGCGACGACGTTTGGCTTATAGAATGAGAAACGGCAGCAGCCAGCCAGCCGAGCAGCCAGCGACCGTGCGGAGGGAACTGGCAGTGGTATCGTCCATAGGGGCGACATCAAACCATCACCAACTCCGGCGTTGGCAGCTACAGCAGCAGGAGCGATCCATGAGAAAACGTATCGTCGCCGAGTACATGGTCACCAACACACTGACAAACTGACTGACAAGCGCAGAACATCGAACACTTGGATATTACGAGACAGATGACCGGAGGGAGAGCCGGTAATTAGCGAGTTCTCACAGAGTCGTTCACGTAGGTGGAATCCTGGAATCGAGCTTGAAAGTCCTTTGACGTTCGAATACATTGTGGTCAAAGGCTTATTATTCGTCCAGAACTCGAGCGAAACCCAGAGACCGAGGGATTGATGACATCTGAGGATTGATGGAAGCGAATCCCATTCTCTCGATAAATGAATCGAACTGTTTTTTCGCCGGCAACGACGGATTTCCCCAAGGGTGTACGGTCACGGTCGACTCTCGACTCGGATTCTGATTGTGCGCTGAAGACATCACCCGCTATCAATTCGCTGAGGTCCAGCCTGGACCAAGTGATCGGAGATCGATTGAGCGAGATTACCATCGGGCGGAAAAAGACCCGATCGAGCTCCTCTGCATTCGCCCGGAGCTCTTCGAGGATGTCATTCACGAGGCAGAGAGAGCTCGTATCTGTGTATACACCCCAATCGAGCTCGGGTGTGATTAAGAATTCGGTATCCCACTCTCCAGAGAGATTCTGTGAGCGCTTCACTTATTTTGGAAGGAGCGATACTCGTGTCGGATGTCCCATTGGAACCGAGGAGATTGTGAATTTATTCATATCCTTCCTTCATCCGCCGACGCAATATTCTTCGCGAAGTTCTCCCTGATATGGGTTCGGAATTCGTTTTTTTCTTGGAACGTTCCGCAGGCCCGAGGATGAAATTCGATTCGATTCTTGTTTTCGAGTGAGTTCCGAGTGACGTTCTATATTGAAATGACGGGAAGCCTAACGTCAGCACGCTCGCCAACCTCTACTGGAAGCGATATGCAGTGTAAACGAGGTGACCGTAAAAAGGGAAAAACACTAACTCGAATCACAAGGTTATCTCGTTCAAGCTTCGACCACGTAGCCGCGATCATGCATAACTCTGCAAGGTCATTCGACACAGTCATCGCGTAAATCTCGGTCAATATTTCCGAATCGATTCAGCGGGAACTCGGGACAAAAGGATGAAGCTCACAGCAACAGCAAAAATTCTACCGTCGTGACGAATCGACTCAATCTAAGCTAGTGATCGAAATCTTGGCGATATCCTGCAGAAAACATCGCATGCCAAATAGCGGCGGTCGCATCCGTAGGGGCGACGATCCCAACACCGATGGCGATCAGCTTCGCCGGAGATATCCTATTCCTATCGGAAGCGGCAAGTCTTTCAGAACTGGGCTAACACAAATCTGGAGTCAGCAAATGACAGCAGATCATTCGCTGAATTCAGACATTAAATCCGGGCGGGCGAGTGAAGCATACAGGGCGAGTGGTTGGATTAGAAACTTGGGCCGCGACGTCGCGGTACCAGAACCAAGGACTCGCCCTTTTTCTTTTGCGAAAACACTGTAACATCGGTGAGAGACAAAGCGGCTCTAGAGAAGTTTCATCATTCCACGGTAATAAACTACCATAGAATCGCTTGGTCTCTCACCATCATCGTCCACGAGGAGAACAACATGAATCCAAGGGAGCGGACAGAAGTCTGAAAGCTTGCGTTCTCCGCACAAACAACCAGAACTAACGCCCGAAACAAACGGAGAAAAATCGTATCCAAAGCAGAAACTAGTCGCCGAACTGTTGAAATCGGTCTATCGAGGATCGTTGCCGCTGCTCTGGGAAATCCATCTCAACCCCCTAGCGAGCCGAGTAGTAGCCATCCAGCTAACCAGTCATCCGAATTTAATCGGTTTGAACTCGTCAGTGAATTGGTTGGCCGAGCAGTGCGTCCCCTAAGGACCTTCAAGCCATCTGAACCGCTCGGCGGTCAGAAGCTGAATGAAGCGCGAACTTGGGTCGACATAGTACCGGCTCGACTCGTCCCTTTCCCAATGTAGAGGGATCTGCTCGTCGTCGAGACGGCTCCTCATTGGCTGTCGAAAAGGGAGAGTCGGTCGTGACCCTCGCCAGGAGGGATAGTGGTTCGACCAGCTGACTGCGAGGAGTCAGTCGCGCGAAGATGTTCTAGTGGAAAGATTCAAAAAGTGCAAATAACTGGCTACACACAGCCAAGAATTAGAGCCGGCAAGCCAATTAAGCTTTAAGTGTCCAACGTTTGCTCGGTTCAATCGACGCGACATTAAAAAGAGAAACGAGAACTGTGATTTCCGCTTGCCATTCGTAGGATAACGTCTACTGCAACTACCTACCACTCATACCATCGACTCTAGTACCAGATCCTCGAAGACGTTACCGACAACGGCGTCAACCTCACTACCGACGTCGAGCACAACGAATGCAAGCTTCCCCAGGACAGATCAGTGGAGGAAATTCCGATTTCCCCCTCCCGTCTTGGTTCGAGTGACGAAGACGTCGTCGTCAAGTCCCTCACAATCCCTGTCCGGCTGGTGCTAGAAGCTCGGAGTGGAATTCAAACGGCTTGGTGTCACCTACAACGAAGAGTTCCACCTGCAGTAGGAACAACAGCCTCCGCTGCGTGAAAGTTCCGAATCGAGGGGATCAATCCTCCGCTGTGCCTTGCTTCGTCGAATCTTCTCCGTGACTTTGAGGATAATTGCATACCATACCTTCCAACATGGGTCAGATCGTCAGAAACGTAAGTGTTTTCTTCTTGATGGCCACCTAGTGACAGTGACGTCCTCGGCATCGAATCGACCCGATCCGGCCGGGAAACCGGCTTTAGAGCGACTCCGAGCCGTACCGGCGAGCGTCCATTACGGCGGAGTGTTTCCAGATTCGGAGGGTCCCTGTTCGGCACCGACGTTCGTTCCACAATCTCTGAAGCTCGGCGTACGTGCGGCAGCTTATCGACTGCCGTGGCCGGTATTGTATCGGCCTTGTATTCGCCTGCCACAAAGCTTCTCGTGTTTTTTCGGCTGCAAGGAGTTTTTCGTCCCTCCGGGCCGCCGGTTGCCGTGGCGGCGCTTTCAAGGAGATTGTCTGCCTGTGTGGCTGCCGGACGAGCCAGCGACCGACCGGCGGCTGGTCGAGCCGCTGCTGCTACGGCTGCTGCCGGGAGTCAATGGCCGGCCGAGGATTTCCCTTGATTGCAACGTTTTTTTCCCCTTGAATTTCTGTATCTACGAGCAATGCTCTCCCAAGAAGAGCATATTCAGTATGTCGAGGATATAAAGGAGCCGTTCGTTGCGCTCGCCGGCGGCGGCGCGGACCGCTCGCTCGCAGAGTCACCAGGGCCCTCCTCTAGCGGTTCGTGGGCTTGCCAACAAGAGCGACCGTCCTTCATAGAGATGATAGAGCTATCGTCATTGAGCTCATAGATGTTCGGTATTCGGTGCGAATGCTTAAACGCCTCAGGATACCGGTGACAGAGTCGTCGGCTGCTGATGAAATTCAGCGTACTCTCTATGGAGGAGTATTTTGCGAAAGCTTACATCAGCGCCTGGTGGCTCCCTCTGACGGTCGTGATGGAACCGCTAGGAATCGGACGATTTGAAAGGGAAGCCTCTTTTTTCCCCCGTCGACGGGATCTAATGATACGGGGTTTTCTTCCGGAATGGTGCTTTGGGAAGCACTGGAAATTCGATACGATAATGCACCGGATCAGCTCGATTGATGTCGATCAGCAGTCCCTTGTTTGAACTGCATGCAGTCGCCCATCTGATGCAATCAGCGCTGGTAGCATCTATTACTATCGTTACATGATCGTTGAATTCGAGTCGGTGGGCTACCACAAGGCGATGTCTGTTGGGAATCGATGGATGTCTCTCCTTGGCATTGGACATGCCAAGGGGCGGAGAATCCGGACTCGTATGGGCACGTTTTTTATACGGGCCGTGTCCCCTCCCCGGGCACCTATCCCTGGTCCAAATTTCCAAGACCGACTCATTTCGAGTCAAATGAAAATCTGATCGGCCTGGCCTGACGCCAGTTACGCTTGCTTTCAAAATAATGTCCCCGTCCGAAACGGGAATCGGCTGCTTCTGCTTCTGGTGAACTCGCCGTACCGGTCTACATTCGATAAACGTTTCTTCCCCACTGGTGGCGGTGATACGGCGCGACGAAGCTTCTAGAGCTCCCTTCCCAATTGTGGAAGGAAGAAAGCGGGCGACGGAACGAGCGAGCGATCAAGCGAGCAAATTACCCGCACGGCGAGTGAGCCCGTGGACGAGCGAGCAGGATAGACTTGCCTATTGCGGGACTCGGTCCGAGAACAGACGCGTCGTATAGGCGATGTCGAATGGAGAACAAAAAATGCAGACTCGATCTCCAGGATCGACATCGGGATGAAGTTTTCCTTCCCCGACTGAAATCGGTCGTCGAATCGCCCGCTGTAGCGAGCTCGATGCGTAAGAAATAGGAAATGATTGCTCTTCGCCAATAGAAACTTTTGTTCATGCATACACCCTCGCATGCATGCATTCATTCATTCATTCGTCCCGCCGTGTGACGGCGGCAAACGAGCGTGGAGACGTTCCTAGGGAGCAGGCAATCGACTCGGGAAGGTCAATCGCATTCAAATTGACGAAAGAGAAAAGAACGAAAAAGTCATGGCCCCAATTGAATCAACCGACGTCGACAGGCACGCTGTCGCTCCCGATGTTCCACCGCTGACAATTTGTGGTGTGGTCACTTCGTAGTGCTTTCCGACGCTCCGCGTGCATATTCGTTGGAGGACCGTTGGTAGCCGGGTCGTTCGGCGGAACCGCTCTCCGTCGGGGGAAGGACGAGCCGGCTGATCGATTGAGGGATTGATCGAACAGTGCAGATCCATCTGTCTGTTCCTTTACCATCAACCTATTCGTCGGAGGGTCGCTTGACTAAAGTAGGCGCATATCGTTCTCGATTTCCTCGTCCACTCTATAACACTCTCTCAGTGGGGAGTGGAACTCTGTAGCGACTTGCCAGTCGGAAATTAGCAGTGTGACGGCTGTCGACTCGGCAAGCTGCCGGCTACTTAGCGTCTGTTGGGGGAAAGGAAGGCTCACATTCGATGCTGCCGCTCTTAAACGTCTTTGGCGAATTGCAAATGAGTTAGACAGTCAGTAAGCTGCATAGGTAGGCACCAGCCGCTGCAGAGGCGTCGCGGTTTCGTGATCGACGCCTACGCTCGCTCAGAGAATCGACGTCGATTGGCGCGCGCACCGAACGAGCAAGGCGTCGACCGACCGGCCGGCTTGCCAGCCGGTTTGCGAGCAGCCGTGCCCTGAGAGTGTTTCCACACAGTCGAGCAGCCAGAAACGAACACGTAGAGCGGAGAGTGCAAAACGGGTAATTCATCCCATTGTGTCAGCTGGATATCAAGTAGCTCAATCCGCGCGGGTTTCTGACGAGAATCTCCCGATGCTTTTTTGTAGTCGGTTTCCGTTCAGAGAGGACGAACGAAAGCCTCTCAGAGCTTGCAGTATTCCCTCGGGCGCTGCGCAAGTGAATACATTGGTGCGCTTCCGCGTTGGAGGCCGGTCGTTGCTCCGGCCGTCGTCTCCTCTCGATGCTCACGGTCGGTGGTCTGCCGAACCGCGACCCCGTTCGCCAGTTGATCAGGCGGCCGGCAGGTCGGCTCGGCTGGATCCAGCCGGTAATGAGACGGCTAGTCAGGCAAACGCCAATCATGGGACGACTCGCGGACATCTCTTCAGTATTGACCCCGAACCAGGGATCTTGACAGTCTCGAATAAGTCTGACTCTCTAGCTAGCTAGCTAGCTAGCTAGCGAGCTGGCTGCCAAGCTCTCTAGTTGCTATTGAGCCGGCAATCGACAGCATTGTAGCTGCCGGCGCCGTGACAGTGGCGGGCGGCGGTTGAATATTATTTATTCTGCCAATCTATCTCTCCGTGTATCTGTCTGGCAAACCAGCTGACTGGCGAATTGTCTGGTTGCTTACTCAGTTGGCTCCGAGCCTACTACCAGCTGCAAGTGACTCTGACATCGGTCTGAAAGTGCAAAGCGAGTGGTCTAGAAGCTTGCTGAGCGAGCGAGTGGTCGACACAGCTGAGAACAACGCTGAGAAGGCGGCCGGCCAGCCAGCCAGCGCGGAACCGACCGAGAGCAGCAGTTGCCAATCAGGCTGGTGTCAGGCACTTTTCTCGCAGCGTATAGAAGCGTAGTTGTGGTCTTCGGTGCTACGGCTGTTGTTGCTGTTGTCGGTGTTGGCTGCAGTGTCGCTCGTGTTGGTTGGCACCCGCAAGGCCTTCTATCGGCCTTGCGCACTCATGAACGATGATGTCGGCGGCGGCGGCGGCGGCGGCGAGAACAACAGTGACGGCAGCAACGATGAATAGCTCAGAAGCATCAAACGCTTGGCAACTTGAATTATGGGACAACAGGCCAGCCGCATTGCATACCGCCAGCGGAAAGGCTAAACATTTGAACAGGACCGATTGATAAGCGTGCTCGTTGGCATTTCTTCTCGTCAACCGTCCGGCCTTGCGGTGCTCGGGAGCCATATCTGCTCGATGATTGCCGGTATTGTTTTGCACCTGAAAATTCATCGGTTCCGATCATCCCGGTCGGTCATTGTCATGAATCTAATCTACTCGCACGGACCGAGGGCGTGAATCACTTCTCAGTTCTGATATCGCACTCTGAACTCGCTGATAAGCTGACAGGCGGCCAGCCGGTCTTCGAATCGGTCGATCTCTCGCTCATTCGAGCAGTTCGCCGGCCGCCGGAGTGGACGAAGGTATCGGAGAAGCCATACGTGCATATGCACGCCCCGGAGCGTCAACCACGTTCGCAAGGCGATTCCCACGCATTTCGAATGCTGGTGTTTTTATTATTGCTGCCATTGGTGTTGGATTCGAACATTGCCGAGCTTGCTTCGAATCAATGTTGTTCCCGTTGGCGGATTGATGATGAGACACCAACGCAAGAAGATTTTGGAACGTCGCTTCCCGGCTACGGTGTGGTGGAAAAATCCTCTCGATTACGAGTTCTTGGTATCAGATCGGGTCCGTTCGATGGAGATCATTCCGATTTCTTGCAGACTGGCGATCCTGGAGAAACTAACTTATTCTTCCCCTTGTCCTTGCAGACCCAACTGTACATAGACAGCGTCAATCAGTTCTACCCGTGTCAAGAACGGGCCCTCAATCATGTGAATCAGCTTATGGCTTATCACCCGCTCTACCAGGAGCCTTTCGTACAAACTCAAGAGTTTGTTATGCAGGGTGACGGCCCCCTCCCGTACGATCAGAGGCATTACATAGCGCTGCTGGCCGCGGCGCGTCATCAGTGCACGTATTTGGCCGAAGTTGAAACCCAGGAGTTTCTCTCGTGTGGAGGTGAGAAGGCGTGGCTTCAGGGCCTGGATTTTGCGCCCAAGAAGATCCGTGACCTCGACGAAATCAACCAGTTGTTGGCACACCGACCGTGGATGATCTCTAAGGAGCACATTTTAAAGCTCACAACCGGTAAGCTCGCCGAATTGATGTTTCGCTTAAGCGTCGCTGCGTGGTTAGCTTCTCGTCCGTGGCTGTGATCTGAGGGATAGGCGTCGGAACATCGGATCGAGGTTCCTAAGGCACCGTTTTTGATTTTGCAGGCAACGATAGTTGGTCGCTCGCTGAGGTGGTTCACGCGATCACCATCCTGGCGCATTTCCATGCTCTTTCAAGCTTCGTGTTCGGCTGCGGTATCTCTCAACAGAGCACTCAATCGTTGCGGCTAAACTCTTCGCGAGAGTCACTGAAGTCTGGGGGCTCGAGCCCCGTTCAATCGACGACGCCGGCCGGCAGCCCATCGCACAACGGCTCGCCGATCGCCGGCGGCGAAGTCGAGAACCTCATGAGGAAAATGAGAACAATATCGGAGTCGAAATCCTCGCAAGATATCACCTGTGAAGAATTGGCGAGGCGCTTCGAAAGCGAAGCAACGGAAAGTGCCTCGATTTCAACAATACACAGCAGTAGTGGCGGCTTCCTCGGTCGGGAAAACGATCTCACCCGGTTCGTCAACGACCCAGCGTTCACTTACCAGGACTTCACCAAACGTGGTGAAGCTGCCGAAGTTCCCACTTTCCGCATCCAGGACTATTCCTGGGACGATCACGGTTACTCGCTCCTCAACCGACTGTACAACGATGTCGGTAAACTCCTCGATAAGAAGTTCAAGGTCGCCTACGACATGACCTACTATACGTGAGTAAATTTACATGGTTTCGTCTGGCAGCAGAGAACAGCCAGGATTTCTCCGAGGCATCCTCCTCCTCCCTTTCTCACGTATTCCCTTACTGAGCCTTTTTTTTTCTCTGTTCCGTCCCACAGAATGGGAGGAAAAACCAACGTCGATACTTCGATGTTCCGCCGGGCCGTATGGAACTACATCCATTGCCTGTTCGGAATCCGACATGACGACTACGATTATCGAGAGGTGAACGAGTTGTTGGATGGAAATCTGAAGCAGTACATCAAGTCCGTCTGTTGCTATCCAGAACGAGTGTCAAAGCAGCACTACGAGAGTGTTATGCGCGAATTTAAGTATTCGGAAAAAGTGCATGTTACACTAATGATCCTTGAGGCCAGAATGCAAGCTGAGTTGCTGTACGCGTTGCGAGCTCTGATGCGTCACACGACTTAAGCACAGTTAGGTGATTCGAAACATCATAGCAGCACATTCATTTGAGTCTCCCCCGTCCCGATTTTGTGATTCTAAGCTTGAGCAGCTATAACCGGGGAAAAAAGATAAGCCTGAGGAAGGAGTAATCAACACAACACATGATGTCCGGCCGCCCGCGAAAGTGGTTCGAGTCTGCGCTGGGCCGCACTTCTCAAAACTCAGCCGGAACCCTCGTGATCGCTCTCGCGTGCTTTTGACCGTTTTTTCGCTCGTCTCACCAAACTCCATTGCTTCGAGGAGACGAGCGGATATTTTTTCATTCCCCTGACTTAACTTGGTGAAGCTCTCCAAGTCTCCAAGCTCTTGGTTACTCTTCTCCATCTCCTCATCGACACCGACATCATCAACAAAATCCGCATCATTCCCATCATGACGATCGTTTTTCCCATTCTCACGCGTGCCAGATCCTAATTGAGTCAGTTCTCATCATCGGCTCGATTGTCTCGAGATGGTCGCGCGAGTGATTTGAGATATTTGACGATTGATGATAGAGAGCGCTGACGACCCACAGCGAAATTCAAACGTGATTTCGATCGACGATTCATCGTTCAGAAAAATCTCTTTATCATCTGGCGGAATGCGGCGGACGAAACTCCCAAACGAAGCCGATCGATGTTCGGAAGCCTCCCTGTTTTCGGGCGACTCCGACGGTTTTTCTTGTAAAATTACCTCTTATTTATTGCATATTTTGCGTACCACGATTGAGCATATATATGCAGCGTACTACCGTGATGACGATCGTTATATATCCGCATATATATGCATAGTACATTATGCGTATCGACATTTTCCTACCATTCATACGCTCATCTCATATATTTGTCGTCCGGATATTTTCGATCGCCGCTTCCAAAGTCACCTTTGGTCAACTTGGTCTCATGTTCGGATATCTTCTCGAAAAAGATCCGAACGTAAACGGAAGATGTTTTAAACGCAAGAATACTCTCTCATCAATCATCTCGATCATCTTGTACCCTTCTCACACCGATACATCCAACCCTACATTCGCCTCCCCCTCGTTCTTTACTCCTAGATTGCGAAACATCCAGTTGTTCATTTCAAATCGAGTTGTTCCGATCTATTCGTATTTTGCTCCGCTGAGTTCATTCTTACATCGTCTTCAGCCAGATTTCGTAGAGCTCACTCTTTGTCGAGTATTTATATTGCTGGAAGGAGGAATTACCAATAAACTTTGGAAAATTGAGCCCAGATCCACAGACATGCTCATGAAGATAAGGCTTTCGAGTTGTACCTTTGAATCGTTCAGCTCCCAGCCCCCGGGGGGTTAAGGAGAGAGGTCCACTGGACTCACCGTTCTCACTGTCCGCTTTTCCCCGATCCGTTCTTCACCTTCCCCTTGTGCGAGCTTATGAAAAAGTCGAATTTCCGACATCACGAGTTTGTACCTATTCAGTCAGATGACCGCTACTTCTCCGATCCACCTACACAACAAGTGCGACACAAAGATGAAAAAAAAACAAAAAATTGAAAAAACATGCCAAAATGTTCTGGAGTGGAGATCCACATACACATGAATACAAACACGACGAAACTCCGAGTGAACTCATCAGTAATGCCGCCGTCGCCCCTTCCATCGCAAAGAGGATTCGCAGAGCATCGGCAAAAAGTTTAAAATGAGCCGGTCGGGTGCGTGAATGTCGTAAGATCCATGGAAGCTGCTGCGCCCTTTGTCGCGGAGCTCACTTGCACCGATAAATGGGCGGACTCAGAGAAACGCTGATTCGGAGTTTTGAAATCGACGAGATCAAGAAGAGAGACAGATCAAGCGAGAAAACGAGGAACACATTGAAGCAACCAACTGCGGATGAGAGAATAATGAGAGACCTGAAAAACCTGTACTGTTCGTTCCCCGTAGTAATACGTACACGAATCGTCCGAACGCGGGATCCTTAGTCCGGATTTTTGCCAAGCAAGCAACCCCGATACCCAAATGCCTCCATACCCAAGCTCCCTCGATCCTCCCTGCTAGAGATGTTGCCAACACCGTACTGTGCTAGGTCGTCGTCGTCGTCGTCACGAGCAGAGCCAATTTTTTTCTTGAAGGAAGGATCAGAGTGTCTGATTGATCGAAGTGGGATCAGTCGTTATTTTTCATGTCCATACAGAGTGACCCTCTCGAACAGTGAAAGCAGCAACAACAACAACGTCGAACAGAATCAACCGGCATTTTCTCCAATGTAAGACCTGATTCCCAAACTATGTTTCAAGTATATACAACACGAGCTTAGGACCTCCGTCTAGACCGCCCAAAACGCCCGCCGAAGATCTCTCGTAAGATTATCCGATGTAACCCATCCGCTCGAGTATGCGTGAAACGTGCCGTGCATCGATTGGCTTACACATCGTGTGCGCACACTTGTGCATCCGCTGATCCCGGCGGTTGGTAGGATGCCCACAAGTGCTACTCGATGTATGACCGACTCCGTGCATAGTTACGGGGCATGCGATTCCGAAGAGTCGATTCGCTCGTGAATATGGAAACGTCGAATGACCAAAGCTCGAAAAAAGTTCTGAAAGGCGAGGCAAGCAACTATAGTACTGGGCGATTCGGACGTTCGGTGCCATCATCCTGGTGCGCGCGTTGTCTAGGTAGTTCAAGTGCTCGTCGCTATTCCGAGTAGAGGAACAGAAATACCCTCTTCTTCCTCGGACGGAAGAAACTTAGAAAAGATCATCACCACAGATTGTCGTCGATCAAATCGGCGGACCAGGCGCTCCTCTTTCTCCTCTAAAAGCGAATCCCGGATTCCCAGCTTCAAAATCCTTTTCTCTGGCACTACTCAATCGAGGGATTTATCCCATCGAGTCCACGAGGTGCGCTCAGGTCCGACGATTGCCGGTGACCGAATCTGTCACTGTTGAACTCTCCCGTTTTACTGTGATACGATCTCCTCGGCATTAGCTTACCCATCAATGAAACCACCCCAACAAGTACGACAACAACCACCATAACCACAAACCAGTACCAACCTGCTTGAAGACGATCGGAACCCTAACACATCAGTCACTCACAAAGCAAGCCAGCCAACAGACAGATGAGACATATTGAGCAATGATGGTGATCAATGATCGTTCATCGTAGCATCAGCAACAATAATTATTACAAAAGCAGAAGCAACAATTGAAACTAAAGCAGCAACAGAGTACACTTATCAGAGTTTTTATGATGACCACAGATCAATGAATGAGTGCCCCTTGGGCTACTGCGGTAGGAGAGTCGTTCAGTTAGAGGTGGCTTTTCCGGCGCCTGTAAAAAGTAGCACTGTGTCAAGCTCCTACCGAGACCTTCTTCGAACATATATCTGAAGATGATATGTCTGTCGATAAACTTCTTCTTCCTGGTGATGATGATGATGACAATGATCATGATAACACTGATAAAGCAGATAAACATGATGATACTACGAATGTGAGAAGGGCCCTTCAAGGTCCTCGTTGAGCTCTAATCTTGTGATAGCTACGTCTTCCCCCGTGCTAGTTTTTAGCTTCAGCCACCCTCGAGGTGCGACTGGAACACTGTTGGCCAGGGGAGACGCTCCGGTTAAGTCGAGTTGACTGCTTGAATGTTCGGAAGTCGAGGCAGGTTTCAAAGTATATCGAAAACTACAAAAAAAAGAGAACGAGAATAACCGCAACAGGAGGCCTTGGCGCTCCTCTATCAAACCTTGTTGGTTCTCAGCCAACTCCTCCTTCTTGTATCGCCGAACTAAGAGATTGAAACGAACTGAGAAAAAATATTTGTGAACTACGTACCGCTACAACCATATGTCTGACGACGAAAGACGACCAACAAACATGAACCACACGAACTCAGAACACACAGTGGCACAACTTACAGGGGTTAACCACACCAGATAACAAACCAACCTATCACCACATTCGGAAGACGACCACCCGCAGCTCGACAGAACTCCAACCCGCTCACTTTTGACCGAATAGTCGATGATCCGGGTTGTATCGATGACAATTATTACTTCCAACGAAATGCCATTCTAGAAAGTAAGCACGCGTTCAGCTGACAAGTCTGCGTGGCGAACTGATTGGAGTTCTGTCGTCTAATGCGACGCCACGGGTTGTCTGTGTATTTGTACATAGCAAGACATTCATTGGAGGCAAGGCAGCGAGCAACAGTTGAACGACAAACCATGATTCAAGACCTACATCTGGAACTTCGATCACGGTGACATTGGTCTTATCCGATTTAATCTCCGGAAATAAGCCCAGCAGACACACGCACGAACAGACAAACACTCTCATGGCTCCTTGTATTTTATCTAGTCTCTCTCAACCGAATCGATAGCAACAACAGCAGAAAAAAAACATTAACAGCAAGAACAACACCGCAGCATCCAACAAACAACAATTTCTTCTTATTCTTCAGTGTGATCTCCGTCGGCTATCGTTGTCTTCAACGCCGACCTCTAGACAGATGATTTTAATCTAGATTCAGACATCCTTTCTGATCCATTGCATCAGCAAACAAGATCAGATGATGAAGTTGACTGATTCATTCACTGAAGTTCGTCTGACGGATCCATGCATAACCTGATCATGTTGATAATGATGCTGAGGACGGAGACCGATGTTCATGAACATATTGACGACGATGAAATGTTGTATAAAGCACGACTGCCGTTTGCCGAATATCATATTCACCACTTGATCTTCAATGCGCTAATTCTCAATATTCGAACGCATATATCTACTCCGGAGCGGATTAGTTATGGAAAATCGAGCTATGTTAGAGACATTAGAGGGAAGGAAATCGATTTTCGGAAGTTTGGTGACTCAATATAATTGAATGGCAGAAGAATTCTGATTGCCCTGAGAGGTAAACATCGATTGGTGAGCGATCAATTTGTGCTTGTGACGATTGTTATTATCATGGTGTTCCCTCCTCTTGGACTTTCATTCGACGAGGATCGGTCCATTCGTCTCGTCGACTGAGATGTGTTGGAGAGAGAAATTCTAGAAATGAGCTCTCGGATTCGTGGGAGAAAAGAGAGGCGTTGATGATCATCACTTGAGGATGAGTGCTACCCTTGGAAACATTCATTACTAAGGAAAAAATTATGACTGAAGAAGAGCGGAGATTCGAGTACGGTCGGGACGACAATATGATGCCCGATTTTCTCATTCGAATTGATGCATCAATGCAGGTGATGACGGGAACGTTGGCGAGAGTAGAGTGAGTCGAAACAAATCGATTGATTTTCAGAGCTCATCGCAGTAGATGATGTGCAGCGTGGTGGTGACGAAATCTGAGAACTTTGACCAGCGCGAAAGAATCGGCAGCAGGAGCGGTCAACAAAAACAACCACATATGATTGGTTCTCTTAGACAATATCGGCAGGAATAGCCTTCAACTCGGGAAAGTTTTCCGCTGATGCTCCGATGCGCATGGTCGATCGATCGCAGTCAAAATTCTACAGCGGTTTCACGGCAGTCGTCAATTGAATCAATCTTGATAATTACCGATAATGAAATGATGATGATGATGATATTTTAGTAAGAGACGAAGCGCTATCCTCCGTGGACGAGGAATGA